AAAAACTGCGATGCGGAGGATCTTCCTATTAAAATTAAGAGCTCATATTTGGTGAGAATTGTTTTAAGGTGTCTAGCAACCCATTTTTCCGTGGCACTTGAAAAAAAAAAAAAGTCATCACCCTAATACATATGCTTTTATATTATCGATAAAATGTATCAATTACACACATTAAAATGTTTTATTTTATATTTAAAATGTTCTATTTTAAATCATTAAAATACTTTTTCCAGGTTTGTCCTTGGACGTTCATTATGAGTCAGATAGGATGGGAAGTGGAAGAGGAAAGGTAGGACCACTATCACCACTAGTCGACAATTGCAACTCTGCTGCACTATAGCTACTGATGAATTCAAAGACAGTTACTGTTCATGGGCAAAATATATATTCTCACAAAATGATGAAACATTGATCAGTGAAGTGGTCACCGGTGTAAAGTGCACCAACTTCAAAGAGATTGTAATAGATTTGTCTATAATGTATTATACTATTTCTTTAAGTCAATAACTAAGCTTGATTTTAGGACTATCAATCAACTTAATATTTAGGTTGTAATTTCCACAAGCAGTGCTTGTGTGATAATGAAAGGGTTCTTCTTCAAAACAGATGTAACCTTATTTGAAACAGAGTTTTGTTATATATACATATATATTATACATATATATATATATATATATATATAAAAGAAAAAAGCAATCAAGTTGCTCTGTTCTTTTAATAATTCTTGAATCAAATTATATTATATTAGAGATCAGCAATTTTGAGACAACAATCAGTAATTACTAGTTTGCGTAGCTTGCCAATAGCAATACAGCACAAAATGGCAAGACAAATGACAGTATTTTTAATAGACTTCTAACTTGTGTCATATTCTTTATTTGAATACCCTTTTATTGATTTAATAGCAAATACAAAAATATGCAAGTTTAATTTTTATTAGTTGAACGCTATATAATAATACATTTTGCCGATAAATACATTACCTTGTAATGTCTAAGAAAACATCCATAAATTATGCAAAAGCATTAGGATGAAAATAGTAAAAAGTTTCATTTATTTCTTTCGTAACACTCACACATTCCTAATAATAAATACGCAGTATATTAATTCAAAGTCACTGCTTTTTATATTGTAGAAAACATTGAAACCTTGAACACTTTTACCATTAGAAATTATATTTTTAAGTACATAAAAGTCTTTTCTTTTGTTGTTGTCATTATAGTTATAATATTTAAAATTCGTATATTTCACCAAAGTTACGAGACATGTTATGTAATCTTCTATTGTTTTATTTTGAGCATAAATATTTCTATCATAGTACAGTTTTCATTCTTAAGCAGAAGTAGTTACGCACTTCTGCTTTTTTAATTATCTTATACAAGATGTAATTTTTAAAAATTTACAGAATGTGTAAACTACTTTTTTCTGCACAAACTATTTATCACTTATTAATTATTAAATGTCAGCATGAATGAAAAGGCCTTAATGAATATAATACAATTTATATAAATGTTGTCATTCTAAGGCAATAAGACAAATTAAAGAATTCTAATAAATAATTATTGCGTAGCCCAATTTTTAATTAAAAACGTATAGTATGACCAATATGTTAATCATACATAAATTCAGAATCATCAAGATTCAAGGAATGTATTGGTGAAAAAATTTTGCACTTTATTTAAAATTGTGTGAGTGGCTCTGTTGAATTTAATTCTTTTGCTTTTCCTCAATTTTTCAAATAACTTATCATGAACACGAATTTTCAGTTCATATTTGTATATATGATCTTTGTTAAAGTAATGTTTTAAACAATATTTTATTTTAAGTATATGGAATATAACACTTTCAATTGGTTACATAAATCATTCTTGCCTGGCTTGCATCAACTGCTAATGCCATTACTAAAAAAAATAAATTAACAATAAGAATAAAAAGAAAGACATTCGGTCTTTTAATGCCAAAGAATGAGAAATAACAGAAAATTATCTTGGAAACTATGGTGGATATAGATAAGAAAACTTAACTTTCTGCAGAAAATGTTGGATATCCCAGTAAGAAACACACTTTTATATGATCTCAACTTTCTCCAAGAATTTTTCTGTTTTCCGATTTATTATGATTGTTTCAGAATTTAATTAAAAAATATTGAAATTACTGTCGATCCAAAGTAATGAAAAAAATTTACAGTGTATTTTTCTATTATTTCACTTATATTTCTTTTTTTCTCTCTATTTAAGTAGGAATTAATTTTGTATATGTATATAAAAAGAAAGCTTTCACAAAATATAAAATTATTCTATATTTAAACTAAAAAATAAGCAGCAAATTTCTTGGAGAATGCAAATATAAATAGTACAGACACAAATGTATACTGTTGTTGTGTTAATTCCTGGAAATCCTTTAGTAACATGCTCTTATTCAGTGGAGTACATATATACAATTGTATCATACAAAAAAAAACATGAAATGAATATAAAATATAATGTTAAATATAAGTAGGTACTAATGTCATAACTTGACTCTTTGCTGAGTTAAGCAGTTGTATATGTAAAATGTATGATGGGTGCGCTAATAAAAAAGAAGTAAATATTTTTAAGATAAAAGAAGGTATGCCTAAGATAATAGCTCTTCTTTCATGATTTGTTTTTTTATTACTATTTAGGTTTCAATTACTTATATTTTACAAACTGTTGTAGAATGCAGTTCCCCACATTGTTATGCACTTTGTGTTATATTTATTGTATTTTGTGAAATAGATGTTAGCGTAGAGCCACTTTGCTGCCAAGATTCTATTGCATTATTAACTATTAGTTCAGACATTTTTTCAGGTATCTAAAAAAAGAATAATTATATTAGATAATTGTCAAACAATAGTTATAAACTATAATTGCCTTTCAATAATTAGTTTACATTATTGATTGTGTTTAATACGCTATCTACATTATCAGAGCGTAATAAAACACGTCTAAGAGTGGTTAGCATAAACACAGCCACAAAGACCAAAATTTTATATGCTCCTACAGTTATTTTGTCCCATATCCTATAATTGAAAAATCAATCATTGAATTTCTATAATATAATTAAGATATAATAACAAATAATTAATATATAATATTAATATAAATTAATATATAATATTAAATAATTAATATATATAATCATATTTTCTATTATTTTATTAATAATTTTTATCCTCTCAACCATTATATACTTACTTGGGTATAGATCCATTACATATTGTGCCTGCAAAGCATGAGCAAAACCACATATCAAATGGAAGATTAGGAAGAGCTTCAATTCTTATCAAATGTTTAGATAATTCTGGATCTTCTCTTTCTAGCAATGTACATGTACATTCTTGTAATCTACCAACTTCTGCATGAAATTTTTGTACCTGATTTAAAAGTCCACATAATATCCAATATACATCTACCAATCTGTCTTGTCCAGAATCAATATCTATGATATGCCAGAGCGCCTCAGCTATCCTACTCATCGCCCTAATACAAATGTAATCTAAATTGTACATTGTATTTGTACAACGGTTAGAATATGTTTTTTCTAAATTGCCTTTATACTATATTGTTATATACATTATAACAAATATGACTAACCTATATAAAGATGTTTCCAATTGAGTACTCATGTCTATCTTTGTTTGTCTAGTTCGTAGAAGCCACATTGTCAGAAGTATTAAATGTGGTTTTGTATTGTCTTCCAAAATTCTTGTTACTTTAAGAGCTTTTTGTAAATCTTCATATTCCGCTTTACGTTGTTTCATTATAAATTCATGACTTTCTATATAAACAGGTATAACGTCTAATAATATTTTCCATATTAAATTTCTATACATAGCAGGGACAGTAAATCTCAAACAAAACTGTTTTAATTTCATTTTATCAAATGGATGTTCTTTCAACAATATCTCTAATGATTTTTTTTCTTCGACACTGCGAAATCCTACCTATAAACATAGAAAAGAATCATATTAGATTGTATGTTTTAAACGAAAGGTATTAAAATAATAAAAAAACTAGAAATTAAATTTTTTCTTAATGACTTGTACATTAAACAATTGAAGTTCATTTCTACTTACTTTTTCGTAATACGAAGATCGAAAATTTCGTTCGTCTGTCATTTTGCTAATAATTATAATTTTTTATGAAATTGTATGTAAATAAAACTTATTATTTAATAAGTCTATAATAATAAGTGATTATTTATACATTTTAATTCACATATATTAAAAATCATCATTTTATGTCTCTAATAAACTATGCAAGCAATAATCAAATTAATCTATCACAATATCTGAGCAGTACTCAGAAATATAACCATGTCATATGCAATCAGCTGATCGTATTAAACACACACATTCAAACAGTGATCCCAGAGACTTTAGTTCGTCTGATCGACACAGGGGCGTAAAATTATCGTACGCGGCAAAAAATTATCGTACGCCCCGGGAAAATTTGAAATCCGACAATTTCTCGGACGAGATTTTCAAAATGTGGAAAAAGTGTCCAAGTTCCAACTTTTTCAAAGTTGATGACCTTTTCATAAAAACGATAAAAACGGCCGTCCGCTGGGAGATCGTGGTGGTGGTGGTGGTGGTGGTAGGGATGGTGCTGCACCTTTCCAAAATTTGTTGACTAAAAAAAAAGAAAAAAAGGTCATCAAGTTTTCGAAATTCCAAATGGATCGTACACCACGAATTTTAGATCGTACAGGGCCTCAAATTATCGTACGCGTACGATAATTATCGTACGAATAGGATCGCTGCATTCAAATAAAATACGACCTAGGGACGGTATTCATGATCTACTCTCAACACGGAGATAGAGACTAAGAACAACGATCACAGTGTGTAAAAGTGTCCCCAAAATATAGAACTAGGGATCCTATAGGAGGGATGCGCCATGTACATTGCTGGGGGACCGGAACTCGATTTTGCGCGCGAATGATTCAAACATTGAAATAATTATGATATAATGAATTGCATCAAATACAGAAAAAAATGAACTATATTTAATGATAATTTAAAATTTATATTAAAATAGAATAGGTTACACGAAAAAATTATTATAAATTCAATAAGAAAGACTTAATTAAGTTTGATTTGATAAAAGGCATTACAGTATTTTGAAATTTCAAAACAATTTGTAGGAATTTATACAATTTTGATAAATATAATTATCTACTATATATATTATATTATTAATAATAATAATAATAATAATAATAATAATAATAATAAGACAAATATATAAAACAATTAAAAAATAGATTTATTTTAACATATTTTTATTTCTCAATGTGGTACATGGTCATAGTTTTACTCGAACTGTGTGGTACATATATATTTAATTGTATTTTTGCCAGGTGGCGACACTTCATTGTAAGACGCAATCAAAAATTCTAACTTACACTTACAAGTTCAACACGTGGTTGAATATAACGCTAGTGTTACAATGATTTGTTAATTAATATATTTTTATAATAAAAGTATACATGTGATGCATATAAATTAACATATTTTAAAATGAAAATTAAAAACTCTCGTAAGGTAATTTAAATTGACATAGAGTTTAACAAAGTTTTCATAAAATTAATTTCACAATTAATTTATTTTAAACATAACCTCAAATAAATATAAAAATAAAATTATTTTTAGGTGGGAAAAAAGAATAAGTTGAAAGAAAAAACTATTATTAATAATTCACATATGGATTCTGAAAGTGAATTTAATTTTGATAATGATAATAATCAGGACAGCGAGCTTGATGACGAGTTTAACTTTATGAGAGAAACTGATGAAGATAATGAATCTGATTCACAATTGAATGATATTAATAATTCTATTTCTACAGCAAGCAAAAAAAGAAGTGTTACAGAAGAACTTGATAGTGTACCTAAAAAGAAGAAAAAATTGAAGAATGATTTATATAAGCAACCAACAGTTGAAGAATTAAATCAACTTAGAGAAACGGAAACTCTATTTCATTCAAATTTATTTAGACTTCAAATTGAAGAATTATTAACTGAAGTTAAACTCAAAAATAAATATAAACATTTATTCGATGCTTGGTTCATTAAATTTAAAACAAATATTGAATCATTGCAAGAAACTGATGAATTGAAGGTATATTATTGATTAGAATAACTTTCATTTTTTAATTATAAAATATATTTAACTGTGGAATATTAAATAAAAATTTAACGACTTATTATTTTAAGTTCGCAGATGGAAATCTATATAAAAAATTACATTTGAATATTCCTATATTAAATGTACCAGAAGATATAAGAGGCACATTTAAATTTTTAAAACCATTATCTATTGATATTATCGGTTCATATTCTTTCGATTGTACAGTGGGTACAAATATTGCCGTAGATATAATGATTCAAATGCCAGAGAATTTATTCCAAAAACACGATTATCAAAATTACAGATATTTAAGAAAAAAGGCTATATATTTGACATATATAACTTCTAATATAGAAGATGATCTTGTTGATAAAAAATTATTTCTTGGTAGTAATTTAAGACCTATATTAAAAATAGTGCCACCTGGAAAGTTAGGAAAAAAATTAAGTATACATGTACATGTATCTGCACATGAAAATACTTTTAAACTAAACAGATTTTTACCAGAAAAAAATTCTGTAAGACCTAATTGGTTTTTCAAGGAAGAAGTTGAAAATGGTATGTTATTCATTGATTTTCTAAATTGAATTATTTGATACTTAAGATTTATATATTTTATTTTATTTAGCACCTTTAACACCAACACCACATTATAATTCCATAATCTTACATGATCTGACAATGTTAGAAACAAATTCTCGAAACGTTGAACTGATAAAGAAATATCCAAATATCAGGGATGGTATTATTTTGCTAAAGATATGGTTAAGTCAACGACAATTAATGAAAAGTCATAACGGTTTCAGCAGTCATATAATAACAATGTATGTTTTATATTTGCTACAAATAAAGAAACTCAACACATTTATGAGTAGTTATCAAATAGTAAGAAATGTATGGTGTAATTTAGGTAAGATATCACTTTATTATTATTATTATTATTATTATTATTATTATTATTATTATTGTTATTAGTTGGCATTAGGAACTCGAAAGTTCATTTCTGCAAATACCAAATCCTGCCATTTTTCGCATCCCTGAGCACAATCCCTCCATTCGCGGTCTTCGTATCCTATTTCTTTAAGAAAGATATCACTTTACTTACTATGTTTTTTATGCATTACATTTATGATATTGATCTATTTTATTGCAGTACAAAATGGTTGGTATGAAAATGGGATATCGATATACCAAGGAGATGATAATCAAAAGCGTATTTTGGATTATCATAAATATTATGATTGTGTTTTTCTGGATCCAAGTGGATATCATAATTTAGCTTCCTTCGTATCAAGAGATACTTTTTCTTGGGTACAGAGAGAAGCAGAGATTTCTTTGCAACATTTGGATAATGTAAATGTTAATAGTTTTCCATCTATTTTTATGCAAAAGGTTCCATTCTACAATGCATTTGATAATATATTATGGTAAGAGTGTCTACATTTGTATTTAATTTAAGTAGTATATGAGTTATATTTTTAATCAAATAACTTATTGTATGTTTAGTATTGAAGATAATGAAAGCATAGAAAAACTTGTGGATACAAAGTCATCTAAAGATGATAAATTAGATTATGGTATTGATAAACGTAATCAAGCTATTAGTATATTTATGAAAGTATTAAAACAAGGTTTAGGAAATAGGGTTCATAGAATATGTGTGTTACCTGAGGAACCAAGGCAATGGGAGTGTGAAAAAGAAATGTCAAATTATATTGGAAAAATCTCCATTGGTATAGATTTAAATCCAGACTTTTGTTTTAGTATTGTTGAAAAAGGCCCTGAAGCTAACTTACCAGAAGTACGTAGAACATATCAATTGTTAAATGTATTTTACAGAAAATGTATTTTATTTATGTTAATATAATTTTCTACGACAGGCAGCTTCGTTCCGAGAATTTTGGTGTAATAAATCAGAATTACGTCGCTTTCAAGATGGATCTATACGTGAAGCTGTAGTTTGGGATAAAGGGAAAACTTTACATGGAAAGAGAATGATTTGTAAAAAAATTATAAAATTTTTATTGAAACATAAATTTAATTTAACACCAAATCAATATTTATGTCTTGCTAATCAAATGGAAGATATTTTAAAATTAGACAAAGTAATACTTCTAACATATATTTAAATATTAGAAGTTATAAAATCTTTATTATTCTGATTAAATATTTTCATATATTTCTTTCAGATTAAAATTACACATTTTGTATATGGTACTGGCGAAGAAGCAACTTTACGTGTGATAAAAGCATTTAATTCTTTAGAAAAAGATTTAATGTCTCTTGTTGATATACCTCTTTCAATAACTGGTGTACAAGGATCTAGTGCAGCTTTTCGTTATACAGAAGTTTTCCCACCCTTAGCAACTACTTATCGACCTGATCATAAAATAATTGAAGAGGGTGAAAATTACCTAATGCTTAAAACGAAAAATATTAATAAGGTACCCAGATATGTTCATCCACTTGAAATTAGTTTACAATTATCGACTAGTGGAAAATGGCCTGAAGAATTAGAAGCTATTAGAAAAACAAAGACTGCTTTTCATATTCAAATTGCTGAATGCCTTAGGAAACAGCACAATCTAAAAGCACAAGGAAATGCTACTCATATAGATGTTTTTAAGGTAAAACTTATCCCCTATGTTTTACGGTATGGAATTATTTCAATTTATGGTAGATTTAATGAAAATATTTATTTATCAGGATGGATTTGTCTTTCGATTGAGAGTAGCACATCAAAAAGAAATAGCTTTGTTGAAACACCAAGTCGATGAAGATGGTGTAGTTAAGTATAGAGATAATGAAGAATCTATTGAATTAGAAAAGAAATTATTTCTATTACCCAAATTAAGCAGCACGTTACATGGGTAAGTAAACAAGTAAAAAAAGATTTAGTTTAATACCAAGATTTCTTGTTAATTATTATATTAATTTGGTTATTTATAATAGAATACACTCTCAACATCCTTCATTTGGAGCTGCTTGTTGTTTAACAAAACGTTGGTTATCTGCTCATTTGTTGGATGATTTTCATATGCCCACTATAGCAGTTGAATTAATTATAGCATCGATGTATTTAATGCCAGAACCATATAAGCATGCACATATGCCACAGGTAGCATTTTTAAGAGTTTTAGAAATTTTTGCAAGGGAACACTGGAATATAGATCCTGTTATTGTAAATTTTAATGATGAAATGTCAAGTATGTATAACATGTATATAAAAATATCTCGTTATTTAATAACTTTCTAAATAAGTTATTTGTTTTTATAGAAGAAGAAATTATTGAAGTAGAAACGCTTTTCGGAACGTCACGTGATTCTTTACCACCTCTGTTTATTTCTACACCTTATGACCAAAAAGAATCTTTATGGACCAAAAAAGCACCAAACGTATTAGTTTTAAATCGTATATGTCTTCTAGCCCGAGAATCATTAAAACTATTCGAGCAACAATTCAACACTAGAACGATGCTAGATTGTAAAGCTCTTTTTAGATCACCCATCTCAGAATATGATTGTTTGATACATTTGAAACCACTTCTTAATCCTAGAAGATTGCAAGGAATTGATGTGGATGAAAATCATCCAATTGTTGAGTGGCATCCATATAAACCACATTCATTGCAAAAAATTCCTATTATAGACTTTGATCCTATTCAATGTTTTTTGAAAGAGTTAAGGGTTGGTATTATTAATATATCTTTTTATCAACATAATTTGATGTTAAACTAATATAATGTTTATGTTCATAGGATGGTTATAGTGAGCTTGCTTTATTTTTTCATGATACATACGGTGGTATGGTAATAGGAGTTTTATTGAAACCTACTGCTCTAGAAGAAAAGGATTTTAAAGTGTCAAATGTGAAATGTCGAAAATTAAATAAGAATGACAAACTTGTATTAAATTCATCCACGATGATACAAGATTTTTACGTTCTTGGAAAAGATCTTGTAAAAGGTATTGAAGTTACCTCTAATAAATTATCTCTTATGTGAGATTGAACAATTTATATAAATAAATAAATACATTTTAAAATCATAATCTAAATTTTTTTCTATATACATATGTATGCCATATAAATGTAAATATGAAAAATAAATATTTTTTAGTAACAATATAACATTATTAAGAAATATGTTTCTATGTGACTGATTGTTTATAAAAGAAACATTACTTAACTATTAACTTAAATATATATATGTATGTAAATAACAAATATTATGTAGGTGTATGTGACGATGTTGGAAAACGTAATCTATCGCGTTCCTCAAGTTGTGCTATTTCTGCATTGTTTATAATTTGTGCAATTTGTAATTTGATTGCTATTTGTCTTTGAGGAGAAAGAGTCTTCAATGTTTGCGCATAACTTAAGAATAACAAATCCATTGCATCCATACATTTTTGTACTTTTCTCGTTTGTAAATATTCTATTGTTTCTTCAGGTATATTTAGATTTAAAGTCGGTTGCAATGAGCAATGCCTAGGAACTGACGTTTCTTCATTATGATGAGAATCATTAAAATATTGTACAATATCTTCGTGGGCAGCAGGTTCACTTTTGATCTTTGTATCTGTATCACTATCTGAGTGACTTCCTACATGAATTGAATCGATTCTAACCAAAAAAGAAATTTAATTTTAACACGTAAAATTCTTCCCCAAAAATTTATTACAATACTATTACTTTACTTTTACCTAATATATATTACAATTTTTTTTCTGTAGAAGAAACAAATTACTTAATAAAAATACAAAACAATCCAATCATACATTTATATCTTTTAAGTTATAAGCGTAGTCATGATATCAGTGGGGAATATATGTTAATATTAAAAACAAAATAAATGATAAATCTAATCGTTCCAAGAAAATTATCCCGTGAACTGTTCGTGATCGCGAATTATCGTATTCGTCTTATCAATCACATTTCATAGCAGTGATCGATGTAAAAGAAAAAAGAAAAAAATAAATTTAATAAACGGTAATTTCCAATCACAATCAGATCTATTATCGATTAATTCACCTCGAATAAAATTGTTAAAAAAAAGTAATGTACATTTGTTTAATTATTACTTACTGTCTAGTGGTTACGTATGGTTTTAAAAAATCCATTTGATTAGCCCATGTCCACCTTTTGTATTTTTTGTTACTATGTCCTGTAGCATCTGATTGTGATCGTAAATATTTTCCATAACAGTCACGAAGGTGCCTCCATTTATTTTTTGCTACTGTTCCTACAATGAAAAAAATTCCATCCAACTGATAAAATATATAAGTATTTAGTATTATCGATATGTGTTCTTTATACGATTGATATTTTGATCTATATTGATTTATTTTTAATCACTTTTAGGATTTCATTAAACTTTTTTTTATCATAACACAGCGTTACTATTCAAATTTAAATTTAAATGCATATTCAAATAATTCGATCAATCGAATATTTATCGAATTCAGACGGAGAAAAGAGATTATTTTTGAATTCGGATAATCGATAATCGATATGCGAGTTATTCGATTATTCGGACTGTGAATGGTTGATGGCCCTGTACGAATTCTCACCATCTTCCAAGTCCAATTGAATTGCTATTTCTTTCCACACTGTTGCTTTCTTATTAATATCCTTGTAATATTTGTTCTTCATATTATACAAGATTGGATAATTTTTCACAAGATCGATTAATGTTTCGGTCTCGCACATTTTTACTTGTCAAAATGTTATGCACCGTTCAGTGAGATCACACCTCATGATCAAGTAAAACTGCACCGACCGGATGCGGTAAATTGCTTTCGAGGCGTCGGTTTCTACCCGCATGCGGTCATCCGACCCCAGGGCCGTTCCCATAATGAAAAGCACCCGTTAAAAATGTTTACGTTTAGCATATGTTCTTTTTCCTTCATACATATAATTCATTTATAAATGATTCCTTATTTAGCTTTATTTTTTTTTTTAACTCTTCTTTTACTATTAGTGCTATAACCATTTTTTTTCTCTAGATAATTGTTTGCTAAATACAATTTAAATTCCATCCATGAGTCATTTGTTATTGACTGATAATTTCTGCGATAAAGCATGTTTTACACAAACATACGTATTTGATGTAATTAGTGAATTTAATTGGAGGCAGCATGTAATTTTATATTTTGTGATATTTTTTTTAAATATATGCTCCTACTTCCTTACATTATAAAAATATAGAAAACATTGTTCCTTCCTCTTTATATACTTTTACGTTTATATTAAATTAATATTAGAACAAAGTTAAAAGAATATAAAAAATATATAAAAATATGTAAGGATAATAAATGATCCTAGATATAAAAAAGCTATCTTAAAACACATACGATCTTTAAGTAAATATAAAAATAAATATAAGTAATACTTTTTTAAAAGAAGTACTTCATTTATGATAAGGTCAGAAAATTTTATCTAGTACATAAACAAAAAGAAGAGATAGCCTATCATATCAAAAAAATCATAAGAACTATGCTTAAGAAAAACAATTGTTTGATATCGAATTCATATATAAATCATAGCAAACTTATGCAATACTACAATTATAGATAGAGCTAAGTACAAGATGAAGTTGTTATTGAAAAATAGTGAGTATAGAATTCTATTGATATTTTAATTTGTAAAGTTATAGAACTATGACATATAATTTATTATTTTATTCCAGTAGTACTTCTTTTACTTTTTAATATCATATTGGTTAACAAATCTCATTGTGAAATAACAACTGTTGATCGCATTATAAGAGGTGCTACAGTTACAATCGAAGTTAGAGCAAATGTTGCAACTTTACGTATTTGCAGGAGTAAGTAAAGATATTATCAAATTGTTGATTTTTCATAAAATTAAGTAGATTTGAAAAGAACTTTGTATTTTACATTATTTAGGTTTTGCAGAGGATTCGTGCACACGTAATGTTATCCGTACTCAATCCTCTGATATCCTAAGGGGTCCACTTCTTATAGAATTGAATTGTGGTGTTGATAATATATGTCTTAAAAACGAAAATGTTTTACATACGGTGATTAAACTACCTGTGAATAGTGATGTCATCACTGTGTCACGAATTGTTAAAGATCCTAATGCAAAGCTTATAGATTGTTACGAGCTTGGAGATAATGTAGAATGGTTTGGAGGACCACAATTACGTTATCAGCATTGGCCTATTCAACACATGTATTATGAAGAAGAGCCATATTTACCAACACATCCTGCAAATATGGCTGTAGCTGAACGTTACTGGCTCTCTAGTAAAGGAACATATATTTATGTGGATATGAAAGATCCATTGTTTCTTGATCAAAACAATTATATGGACAAATATCTTTGCCTTGTAGCAAAAAATAAAGGTCCTTATAGGCACAGAGAATCTATAACGCTTAATTATGAAATTGGTGTATTTAATAATCCAAGAATAGCACATGAATACGTAGTAAAGAATCATTTTGGTAAACCTATGGGTCGACCAAATAAAAGAATGGTTCAACATCCAATATGGTCCACTTGGGCCAGATATAAAGTTAATGTCAGTGAATATGTTATTGATGATTTTGCGTATGAAATCATTAACCATGGCTTTAACAACAGTCAACTTGAAATTGATGACAATTGGGAGACTTGTTATGGTTCAGCTGAATTTGATAGATCTAAATTTCCTTTTGCTGTTCGACTTACGCAAAAACTAAAACATAAAGGTTTTAGAGTAACATTATGGATACATCCATTCATTAATAAAGGTTGTGAGCCAGCTTATACCACTGCTCTAAAAAATTCATATTTTGTTAAAAGTACCACAGGAGAAGTTGATATGCAATGGTGGCAAGGTAAAATGATTTATCAAATATAAGAATATCATATGTATAAAAATACGTATATGCATAAATAATATAAAAATTGGATTCTCTAAAATTTAAAGGTACTGAAGCTGCAACAATAGACTTTACAAATCCAGAGGCAGTTAATTGGTGGGTTGCAAGATTAAAGAACCTCGAAAGCTATGGTATAGATAGTTTCAAATTTGATGCTGGTGAAGTGTCGTGGCTGCCTCAAATACCATCTTTAAATGATTCATTGGATTTGCAACCTGGAATTTTCACAAAGGATTATGTTACTGCCCTTGCTAAAAATTTTGATGACAATATAGAAGTTCGCGTTGGATGGAAAAGTCAAGATCTTCCTATATTTGTTAGAATGATTGATAAGGACACTACATGGTCATTTAATAATGGTTTACCTACTTTAATTACAACACTCTTGCAAATGAATTTGAATGGATACGTATTTGTTCTTCCTGACATGATAGGTGGTAATGGATATTTGAATGGTTTACTAAATGGCACTATATATCCACCAAAAGAGTTGTTTATTAGATGGTTGCAAGCTAATGTTTTTATGCCATCATTACAATATTCTTTTGTACCATGGGATTTTGATAATGAAGTAATTATTTCTATTAATAATGGAATATATAGTTAAATTTTAAATTCTAATATAATTTCTTATCTTTCTTGTATTTTAGACTGTTGCAATTTGTAAAAAATACACAGACTTACATGCATCGATAACACCACTTATCATAGATGCTATGGATGAAAGTGTTAAAACCGGTGCACCTTTAAATCCTCCTATTTGGTGGGTTGATCCAACTGATAAAATAGCTCATAAAATTAATGACGGTAAATTAAAAATTAATATAAATTATTATAATTTACTTTATTAATTGTATTGCAATAACAATTTCTATTAAATTTTTGTATAGAATACTTACTTGGAGAAAAAATTTTAGTAGCACCAGTAATAGAAGAAGGTGCTATATCACGAGACATATATTTACCTAAAGGATTGTGGAGAGATGCATCAAATAATAACTCTTATATTGGCCCAGGATGGATACGAAATTATTATGCACCTTTAGATAAACTTCCTTACTTCTATCGAGTTTGATAGATGTACACAAAATTTATTAAAGTAGCTAAACCAAATAATCTTGACAATATTATTCATAATAATTACATTTATAAGTATGTAAAATATATATTTAAAATGATCTAAAACATGATTAATATATGCTAATTTTTAGTATTAATTAATTGTAGACTCTACCATTTGATAAAAATATTTTTAAGCGTTCATCAAAATATTCCTAATTTCCATGTTAAGTTTTACAATTACTGTATCGTCATTAGTATAACTACCAGTTTTTAACAAAGAATTCCGTTCTTCGATAAGAGCTTGTAGTCTTTCATCATATTCATCTGATTTATGTAAGACAGTTTTCATATTAGTTAGAAAATTTTTAGAAAATATCTTGCTTGTTGGTGAAAGTATCTGTTGATGCATTGGTTTCATTAAAGAATTAGGCTTAAATACATTTATTTCTTTTTGAATTTGTCCTAATAAGATTTGATCATTCGTTAAAGCTGTTGAATCTGTGTATAATATCTCTTCCAAACTATACATCGAAAAGAAAATATTAATATTTATAAATAAACAATGATAATATAATATAGTTAAATTGCTTCAACTCACCCTAAATTTTTTAACTCTTCTTTACTATTTTTAATTTGAATTTCAATCGTTTCCTGATATTCTCTTTTCATTCTGTGAATTTCACGTACTGCTTTACCCCATTCTTCCTTAAAAAATGTTTTATTGCGTTGTGCATTATTATATTTTTCTTCAAGAGTTTTTAACTCTTGTAACAAAGTTGCTGTTTGATCTTGCGTCAGAGATCCTTTTTGATATGCTTCTAATTTTTCTACCTGTTTTGTGAGCATTTGTCGTAATTTCTCATTTTCTGCAGATAAAGGTTCAATTTTTGCTTCAAGAGAAGCATTTTTCTCTTCAAGAATAAGTATCTACAAAATATTTATAGGAAAAATTATAAAAAAAAGAAATATAATCACAATTAAAAAATACAATTAAGTATATACTAACTTTTGATGTCGATTCTTTTTTTATTACACGTAATGATTCTGTTAATTCCTGAACTTTAGATTCATATCTCCATTGCAAATCTTCATTTGCCTTAATTAATCTAGCTTCTTTTTCAAGACTTTGTAATCTCCGTGTTCTTAAATCATCCGTTGCTTTATTTAGATTGTTTGCTAACATTTTACACTGCTCAACACTACACGCTAGTTTTAATTCTAAATTTTCTTTTTGTCTTTGCCATTCTTCGCTCAATAAATTTAAATGACGGTCTTCTTTTTTTTTTAACTGTGCATCACATAAAACAATGTATCAAATCTTGTTTGTGTTTGTTTTATATAAAAAAAAACACACACAAACCTATATATATATAGGTATTATAAAATAGAATACAAAATACAACATACAACATACATTTACTCTAAATATTTCCTTTTGTCGCTCCTTCCATGTTTCTAACTCGTCAACTATTTTATAAGCTAAACTATCATCTATAATTGGTGGACCAAATTTTTGATCTAAATGAAAATAAATAATAGGTTATATAAAATAACAATTAATAAAAATTAAAAATCAATAAAAGGTATAGGCATTACAAATAAACACATACCAGAGACATTCTGATTCATTCTGTAGTATGGACCATGATCCTGCAAACTAAGTACAACATCCAATTCACCGACTTTAATTTTTTCGAAATTGTACAAAGGCATTTCGTATTCACACTTCCACTAGATAAATAATACATACTTTGTATTTATAATGTTAAATTATATTTTTTTTTGTCTGTTATCATTTTAGTACCTTGTTTTGATGAAATAGTTGTTTTACGTCAAGAGAAAACTGTGATATATAAGTTTTAAGATCATCCAAACTACGTATACTAATCTTAAGAGGACAGGAGAATAACAATTGTTTGATTTCATTTGTTGCAGATATAAAATGTAATTTGCAACCAATATCTTCAAATTTGACTTTCTCTCCTAAAAGAACTGACATCTTAGGATTAACTGTGTATATCATTTCTGTTTTTGGATGATGAAATCTATAAAGATATATTTATTTATATTATTTATATTATAGACAAAAACATTTCTTAGGATAAATTCTACCTGAATTCAATATTTTGTACTGCTAGTCCTGAAGATAATTTCATTCCAGTGAAAATTATATCCAAACAATAACAATGATAAGCTTCCACATGATTTGGTAATTGAGATATCACTGGTATAGAATTTTCTTCCAAACAATTTGTTGAATACATACTTTTATAATCATGATTAATTTTTTTACAAACATACTTTTCAAAATCACCCGCAGGATTTCTGTGCATATCGATTTCAGTAAATTTCTAGAAGATGTTTTTTAAATACAATATTAAAGGTATACTCCCTTACTTTTATGTAAGTAAATAATATAAATAGATATTATTAAATTATAAATATAAGTGGAATTTTTAAAATATAAGCTATTAACTATAGATATGAAAATTTAACTCAGTTACTTGATCGAAGGTGTTTTTATATTCTTCGTTATGTTTATTAATAGGTAAAGGTGTTATATTATTTTCATTTGTGGACATTTGATTAATTTCATAATTATTCATATTTTCTTTTAATCCGATATACTGTAGTTTAATTTGTAAGTCTATATAAGATTGATTGTGTTCCGTATCAACAGGATTAACTATATGTTTTGGATTTAGATAACATCGTTCGTTTAGAATTGTTGTTTTGTCATTATTTGATTGAAAAAAATCAGAAATATTGCTTATCAATGGTTGCAAATTAACTTGCATTTGATTGATAATGTTATCTTTGTATTTTAAAGATATATTTAAATGTGGTTTTAATAGTAAATAGTTTCTCAATGCGTCTAAAGAACTTCTAATTCTTATTACGATCTTTTCATTCTGAAGCCAAGTTTTTTCAGAATTTTTTATAAAAGGTTTCAGTTTAACATCATTTTCTAATATATAATACCAAATTGAAAGATTATCATCCAGATCATTATGATTTGAGTTTTTTGGCAATAATGTATTTAAATTTACTACAGAATTTGATATTATATTTAAAAGAAATATTTCATTGCAAAGATGTAGCGGTCCCAATTGTATGAGACGTTCTTCATGAATCAAAGATGGAGTTATCATATTAATTTTAGAAGTAGAGAAATCTAATGGTTGTACATAATCCAACTAAAATGCATACATATTTAAGAAAACAAAACTGTGTCACATTACTAAAATTTTACCTTCGTCAAAGAATTTAGGGCAATACATTCTCGGTCTTCAATGCATAATGATAGTAATAATTCAGGTTTTTGTGCCTTAAAGTTATTTTTTAATCCTAGTAAAGTATGCCAGTTTGATTTTGGTTCTAATTCTTTACTGTTAGGTATAATTTGTGCAGACCTTATACTGAGAAGAATATATCCAATTTTTTCTTTATTGTTATGATCCTTTAAAACAAAACATTCTAACTTCAAAGGAGTTTGGCCGCATCTCATTCTATGCATAAAAGCCTTTTATAATTACTCTATTCACATATAATAAAATTTTCTAAAATATAAAAATCAATTGTATCATACGTACTTTCTTATAGAGATTTTGTCTGTTTCCCAAATTAAATCAGTCGCATATTGTGGATTTGTATTTGGTTCAATAACATCAGATTTTAAAGAATGACCATTTAACGTTGCAATAAGAATTGTTGGCTGTGAAATCTGTTCAAAACCTTTTCCTATAGCATACGAACAACAAATGTAAAATTTTTAATTCACAATTAAATTAAAATAATTATAAAATAAATACCTTCTTTAATACTAAGTACAATTTGAAGATTAGAATTTCCCAATTCATCCATCTTGCTATAATTTGGATTAATCATTTATAAAACAAAAATTGGAAATATTTAACGAGTCCAATAAAAAAACTTCGGTTGAAATTAATTTGAGTTAGGAAAACTATACGGAAAGTAAATTATTAAAAAAAAAACCATAAATATCATGCATTCAGTAAGTAACCATCAATAAGAAAAAGTATTCATATTTCTTTAAACCATTGACCGTTTATATATAATAAAAAATGTAAAATTCATATTCTTCATGACATTTATTTGTATCACTTACTTCCCTTGTCTAATATTTACTGTTTACATTTCTACTTCTACTGTTCAAATATTTTTGGCGGCTTATGTTTTAAGATAAATACAAGATTTCAGAAAATCTTTCTAATATAGTATGATTCTAATTGGTTCTTTATATAAAAGAAACTATTGTTATTGGTCGTAAATACATTGTTATACATGATAATAAATTGAAGATCTTAGTAGGAAAATAAAACGTTTACTGATTTCTATGATTTTAATCGATATAAATTATGAAAAATAGCGATACTGAGATGTATAATCAAATATTATTACATTTAATACGCAGAATAAAAATATGTTATAATAAAAAGGCCAATTAAATAAAACCGCGATGATCACTGATTAGTGGATTTTCTCGAACCTCATTGGTAATTATCGAAAGAATTGATAAAACAAATGGAAATTTAACGATACCCTACAAGACAATGACCAATGAGCAACAGTCAATAAAGTGCACATGCGCAGCCATTTACCGACCCTGCCCCTTTAGTTGGCAACATTGTCGGCCTCGTAACAAATTCTATCTGTCTCCCCGAGTTGAGCGCGAGAGACGGGAGAGCGCAAATCTGTCGGTGATCCTTTCGTTCGTATCCGACTGGCTTTTCGGGGTAGCGTGTGCGCGTTCGCGCAATTATCACAGCACGAAAGACTGTTGTGCTTGTGGGAAAACATATTACGCTTTACCGTCAGTTGAAGGTAAAGGAGGGAAAACGAAGAAATAGCAAGGAACGGAGAAAACAAAGAAAGAAGGAGAAAGAGAGAGGGAGTAAGGCACACGCTGGAAAGAACTCACTGGCAGCACTCGAGCGTGTGCGTGCGTGTGTGTTCGCGCGCGCGCTCTGTGGGATAACGGCGATCGGCCGTACTCTGGTGACAAGAGCCCATGAACTCTTTCGCGAGCACCGAAGAATTCCTCCTCCTTTTGCTCCCCTCCATCTTCCTTCCCGTACGTATAAACTTAGACGATTTCGCGCGTCTATGCGTCTTCTCTCTTCTTTTTCATTTTCGTCGAGCCGTCCACGTTTCTCCACTCTGGTTACATCTAAAGGGAAACTATACGTAACAAGAGAAAACGAGAGAGAAAGAGTAAGAGAGAGAGAGAGAGAGAGAGAAAGATTAAGGAAGATAGAAAGTAATCTCGAATCGTGCAAAAGTTGTGATTTCGCACGCGGCTTGACCGTTTCTGTAATGGAGGAACAGTCATCAGTGTGTGTTGTCGTCGCCGTCGTGCGTAAAGAGGACGGTTGCCACGGCGATGATCGTCGGTGTGGCTGAAACTGGAGGGATATTTTTTTATTCCTTTCGGATTAACGTGCTGCCTGGCCGGCCGGCCGGGTAACTGACAAGGACAGTGCGAAATTTTGATATGGGATCGTCCAGGGTCTTCGACTCGGCTCGGCCTTGCAACTATCTGTGACAACCACTGGCCGCTTTGAGTAGTGAGAGAGGAAGGAGATACGTAGTTAAGCTAGGTACTTACAGGAGCAGAAAGAAGAGAGATAGAGAGTGCGTGTAAGTAGCAAAAGAGTGCAAGGCTGAAGAAAGAAGAAAGAACGAACGAGAGTGAGTGAGTGAGTGAGTGAGAGAGCGAACGAACGAGCGAAAGAGCAAGAGAAAGAAAGAAAGAGATAGAACTTCACGAAAGGGTGTGGGAGAGCGAGAGAGAGAAAGAGGTACAAAGAGGGATAGGTGTAGGAGGCGTGGATAAGAATGAGAAAGAAAACGACATAGGTGGGTGCGCGCGCGCGAGCCTGCGGTTTGCAACGTTCTTGCGCGCTAACCGCGCGCGTGTGTGTGTGTTCGTATTTTCTTGAGGTGGGTGTCGAGTGCATTTGTTGTGTGCTTTTGTGTGGTTAGAGATAGGTGTCAACAAGAGCGTGTCAGCCGCGTGTCTTGCCTTACCTTGCCGTGTGCGGCCACTACCCTATTTCAACTTTCGATGAAAGTGAGGAAAGATTAAGTCTGTGTAAAACTCGAAAAACAAAAGTGAGGTTAGGACGGTATGGGGGTGGTCGATCTCGATGGAGTGAAGTTGTCGTCGTTGTCGTCATCGTCGCCGTCGTTGTCGGAGTTGTCAGAGTTGTCATCTTCCTCGTTTATTCTAATTTCGAAGCGTGACAGCGAAATTTTCTTTAGCAACGAACCACCGATTTAGTTATTTCAGCTCGTATAGTGGTGTTTCGTGGCCTTTCTATCGGGAAGTCGCGTCAGAGTTGACGTCTTCGAGGGAAGAGAAAAGAAAGATAATGGAGATGTCCTTAATTAACGACGTTGCTACGAGGAATATCTTCTTTACTGACAGTCTCCTGTGACGCGCGTGCAGGGGAAACCAAAAAGAGAGAAAGAGAGAAAGAGAGAGAGAGGCAACATATTCTTGTATATGTATACGTGGTCGCGTAACACATATTCATAAATATATATGCATACATAATATACACGTAGAAAGAGGGCAGATCGAAATAAAGAAAGAAAGAAAGACGGAGAGAGAAAGAGATAGAATTTCTCTCTCTTTTTCTTTCTCCCTTTTTCTTTTTCTCTTTTTCTCACTCAATTTAGTTATAAAAAGAGCAGACAAGTGCAAAGGAACATTTGAAGATAAATAATTATTGTTCAATCGTTGTCCTGTCAGGATGCAGAAGAGAGACGGCAGGGATGGCCGCGAGAAGGAGCTTGGCCGTGGCTCCGATCGTGATCAGCAGGACGCGGCGAAAAGGGCCTCCCGTGGTAGTGGAAACGCCACGAGGTCCAATGTCCATTCCTCGAGGCATAGTGTCACCTCTTCGTCCGCTGTGCTGATGGTCGGCCCGAACTTTCGGGTCGGCAAGAAAATCGGCTGTGGTAACTTCGGGGAACTTCGACTTGGTGAGTCTTATTTTGATTATTCATATTCATATTTTTATTATTATTATTATTATTATTATTATTATTATTATTATTATTATTATTATTATTATTATTATTATTATTAATATTATTATTATTATGTACTATCATTATTATGTACACTTCATTAGAGTTGACGATTTACTTGATTTTTCTTTGCGTGTTTCGTTAACTCGAGTAATAAAATGATCGAAGAGATGGAGAAAATGTAGTGATCGTAACTAAAGGGAAGTGCTGTCTTGTTAGAAACGCGCCTTAAAAGTGGGTCATTTACCGGTGGGATGTCGTCAATAAAACAAAATGGAGCCAGGCGAGCGCGCCGAGTTCGTGCGGGTTCTTTTGCGAATCTAACCGAAACACCTGGCTAATCTCTCCTATATGCACTTTTTTCCGTTTCTTCTTATCTTACCTCTAGCCTTGCCTTTCGAATGAGTATATATTATTATACGTCCCTTCTTTTCCGTTTTGCTTTTTTATATTTATGTTTATGTTTGTAACATAAATTTATACATATAGTACATATATATTCGTATATTAGTATCCAATATACGAATTAGGACGTATTGTAATTTCTTTTTAAATAATGTAAATTATTAACTCCGTCAATTGTATATATTACACTTTCAACAATGTTTCCCGATTCTGAACAAAAGTAGCTCTGTTCACGATCGGTATGAAGTTTATACTTACACAGGAGATTAAACTCCTCTTTATAATTATACTTCCCCTACGAAGAAAGCTTTTATCTTATCCACGAACAGATTGCATATAGTAAACGATTATTTTTTATCTCTGGTAAAAAGTAACAGACATATTACAGCATGTCACGTTATTGTACTCACTAAGTATACTCTAGTGTTTCGTTAAAACATTTTAAATAGGATATAACATAGTCGATCGTAATATAATCCAGATTATGCAAATGAAACTTCGAAATGAAAATTACTTATCAAAGAACATTCAAATATATTTCATCGAAAAAGCTTTCACTTGGTATATCATCTAGTAGTCCTTTTTGGGGATACTTTGAATTTTCTACTTGTACAAGCACGTGAATTGCTCCTGTATACTTTAGCAAGACGTTAATTTCAATATTGGAACGTTCGATTTGCGAATGGATTTCGTCACACTCGTGAAATTATTTTAGGATACTTTTGAACTGAAATATTGTTGGATATCATTGGATGTGCAAGATATTTACTATTCTGACGGCACATCGAGGACACGAATATGTAGAGAACTTTTGAAAATGAAATTATTTTTTTGTCTAAATCATACTCTTTTACATACAACATAAACGCATAATTAATGTCTTCATTTATAAAAAAAAGAAGAAATCATAGAACGAAAAGATTTTTTATGTGTTGGGAAACAACTTCGCCATCGTGAATTTGTAAATAAAAGAATAAATGTAATTTTTTTATTGTAAGTATTTACATCCATAGTTATGTAAATGCATATTTCTGACTCTTATCACTTTAAAATTATTAGCAAACGTAACGATGTTTTGCAAATCCTTATCGTTATTTTGCCTCTTTGCTCTTACGATCATTGATAATTAAGATTTTGATTTCTATGAGTCGTACAGACACAACATATTTAAATTTCATTTGCGAACTCTAATCGATGATAAAAATTTAATTCTTGTCAAGAAAACATTTAAGATTAATGCGCAGAGCAAAATAGTACTTACTGTTTTTTATTAATAAATTATAATTACAAAAAATGAATATGGATATATTATAATAAACATAAAAATATATGTATACACATATGAGCGTATTCGTTATTTAACTCGCATAAATTTATTATACTTACTAATAATGATCATACTTTATCTGTTCTTAATTGTGAATGATTTAGTTTAATTATCGTTAAATATAGCAAATAACAAATATTTATCATTTCATCAATTTCATATCGATTTTTTTGTTTCCCTTTTTCTTTATCGATTACATGAACCAAATATATAATTACATTATGACAGAATCGAACAGATTAATTAATAATACGATTTTTTTCTTTTTTTTTTTATCATTTGAACGTAAAAGTTTAGGATGTATCACTGAGTTCACTCATGGGGAGAGAGAGTCCACGATAATAACGAATACACGGCCAATGTTATATAATAGGCAAAATCGAATGAAATCAACAAAATAAAGAAAAATTCTTTCTAGCTTCTAGAACAAAACAAACAGTTATAGAATATTGTTTTGTATCAAGCTGATCCCGTTGGTGCATGACCTATAAAATAAATCATATCTTCATTTTTTTTTATTTGTTTTTTTACATAATCGATATTATCAAAGTCGATAAGATGGAAAATTTTGCTGATTGCTTTTACAGAAAAAAAGAAGAAAAACAAAAATTTCTAGTACCGAGGTGTGAATTAGTTTCATTTAATTTTTTTAGTTCAATGAGTTTTTGAAACTTCTTCAACGAATTTATTTTACAGACCAAAAAATCTGAATGCATTTTTATTAAGACAAACTCTTCTCTGTAGTTACTTTTCGAATCATGCATTTGATCGATTTTGAAAGTGAAACCGACGAATTAGTTCAATATTGAAAGTAGAAAGTATCGATTTGAAGTTATATTTTGTGAAGGAATCAGTGAATTCGAAGAAAAAGGTTCGAAGTTAAAGCGTGTTTTATGGATGTTGAACATCATGTTCTGTGAAACATTGCTCAGTTCTTCTTTCTTCGTAGACATAGCACAGTTATACTTATCATCCGGTTAGATGACCAACCAACCAACCTTCCTACGATGTACTTACACACAACGGATCTTTTTAGACGTTTCGTTTCGTTTCGTTTGAAAGGAGAAAAGAATAAGAATAAGAAAAAAAGATGAATTCCTCGAAGCTAGAATTTTTCTAACATAAGATAGTCCAACTCTTGTGAAATATCTTGGAGTTACGAGTACTGTATGGGAATCAATATTTTTCATCAAAATTTTTTTCTTTCTGTCTTCTCGTTCGATTCGGATTAAGCGATTTTCGTTCATATCCATAAGTACTTTAAAATCAAACGATTTCATTTGTATGGTTTTATGATATCAAAAGGATTCAATTTGTTAGTAGTGTTTTGTACGATCATACTGATTATTATAACATTCGTAATAATAAAAAGTATATATTTCCTTTTTTATTCATTTTTACTTGTTAACGAAGAAGTTAGACAAATGCTAACTAATAATATCTATAAGGTGAGTCGGGGGAATGTGCCAGTGCGGGGAATATGCCACTTTGCTATATCTCCTATAATTATAAGTAGATATCGATAGGAGCAAGATTGAGGTGTTTATTATGTACAGCTGACCATACTGCGTAAATACTACAGTATACCGACGTAGTTTTCAGATGCTTTCTAGACACAGTTGGATTAATTTGGTGAGAATCTAAAATTTTTTGTAACTTTAATGTTTATTTTCTATCATATTTATACGTTTTTCTTAAAACGAGTTTTTGTATATTGTGTAGAATTAATAATATTTCCTAACGGCACTGATTTTAAAACATAATAAGTAAGATTTTTTCTTTTTTTTTACTTTAACATTTTTTTGTGCATTCGGGGCAAAATGTCACAAAATGAGTTGGGGTAATATGCCAGTGGAGACTTTTGTTCTGTGTGCCACATAAGTTTTTATAGTAAGAAAGGACTGAAATGCGATTGGGTGCAATGTAGCAAATGTGAAAAATGGATGCACGAAACTTGTTGTGAAAGTGAAACTTATCCTGTATGTAAATCATAAAATTTGTCAAATTTATTATTGTTATCTCGTTTTTTTGAAGCTATTTATTATAATAATTAATGTAGTTAATCGAAATTATATTTGTTATACTATAAAAGTATTAAATTACGAGTTATTTGTGATATTTATATGAAATTAAGTTCTTTTTTGAGTAAGTGGCATATTACTCCTACATGTGGGGAATATGCCACTTTCAACACGCACTAATTTATTGCTATTAATAAATAAATAAATAAATAAATATTTAGACAAATTTTATTGTGCATATAATAAATAGAGGCAATGTTTATTAAATCCACGTATTTAAGTTTCATTACATTTATTTATGTATTTTTTAGATTGATTTTTTCCTTAGCTATGGCATATTTCCCCGACTTGCCTTAAGCTTTCTTGAGAAGAGGTGGGCGAGGATAGGACGAACGTGTGTCACTAACGTCGTTATATACATATGCGTGCATTATCAATTTATCTCCAACTTCGTCGGTGCATCGTCACATTCGAGGGTCGTAAATGCATTTACCAAGGGCAAATGACCCATCCTACTATGTTTCTATGTATCTACATATGCATTTATATATATAGTTATGTTACATATACACATATACACGAGCCTATAATTTATAGTAATAAAGTTTAGATTTATAAATTATTTTTAATAAAAAATATTCATTAATTATTTTTTATAGAATAGGAAGAAAGATTTAAAATTAAAATTAAACGAGTTAAAGAATGATTTTTTTTTATTCGCTTATAACATAAGTATGAATACATTTACTTATAATTGTGTTAATTATTCCTCGACATATAAATTCTATGCTTATCATAACACAACATAATACTTGAAACTTTTTATTCATTGTCTTTCCCTAACTATGGTACTTGAAAAGTTTTGTCGGTTTATAATAGGTCATGAACTTACGTAAGTAAACGTTTTGTTTACCTTCCGCGTAAAACTGTGTAACATCATAAAGTTAAATTGGAAAGACATACTTTTTTTTTTATCGATTCTTATTTATTACTTTATCGTCGATATAACGTAGTGTTACTTGTTAAATCGATTTGTGTTTATCGGTCAAATCAATTTAATTACAAGTTTCATAAAAAACGTAAATACGTATTGGAAAGTATAATCGAATAATGTAAGATGTTACACGAGTAAGAAAATGATCGATAATTTAGTTAGATAGATAAATCGATAAACGTTAATTGATCATGATCGGACATCT